TATCTTGCCGCAGAAGCGAGATCGTACATGCGGAAGGGAAGGCACAGAAGTGGAAGTGGGCAGCTGGGGGATGACCGTAGAAGCGGAACAATTACCGCACCTGTGGAACCACAGAAGCGGTCAAGTAACCGCAGATACGAGAAGTCGTTGGGCAGTGTGTTTTTTTAAAACGAGGTTGCCTCACTTTCACTTTATTTCCTCCATGGGAGCCGGTCTTGGAGCGATTTTTGAGCTCCATCTTCACATCTACGTCAAGGTAAGTGATTCCCACCTATTGTAAGTTAAATACATAGTTTATATATATATATATATATATATATATATATATATATATTTAAACATGAAAATTAGTGAAAATTGTGGAATTTGGAAGAAAACCTAAAAATTTATATATTTGGATTTTGACCACGAATTTGGGCATGAAATTGAGAATAAATTATATATTTGAGTCGTGAGGTTATGGGTAAAGTTTATCTTCAAAAATTTTCAGAATCCGAGCACATGGCCCGAGGGTGATTTTATCAACTTTTCGAGCGGAGTTGTGAAATTGTTCAAATCGAATTGTTGTGAGCATTAGAGTGTATTTTTATGTGTTTGATCATTTATTGACTAGTTTTGGAGCATTGGACATCGATTTGAGTTGCTTGAATGAATTGGGAGCCGATTATAGAACTTCGAAGTGAGGTAAGTCTCCCTTCTAACCTTGTAAGAGGGAATTTACCCCATAGGTGAAATAATACAATATATGCTTCTATTTGTACGGAGCTATGTACACACGGGGTGACGAAAGTCCGTACGTAGCTATTAGTTATGCCTATGTTCGGGTAGTTTAGGTTTACATCATGCCTCGTTGTCCTTGCTATTTGGTTTATGGTTATTGTTTTCCAGGAGGAGAAACAAGATCGAGATTGTGTAATAATTATGTTGAAAGGAATTTAAATTGAGGAATATAATATTTTAAGAGTTTCCACTGAACTTCGTATTTTTGAAAAGGATTGAGAAATATTATAATAACTTAAGAAATCTATGTGTAACCGCGTCGCATGTATGTTTCGCGAGCGGGGTAATTTCCTTAAAAGCTTCAAGTTGAATTGTCCTTATTTTGAAAAGAATCAAGAAAGAGTTATGATTTAATGTTAAATTTATATTTGATTGCTCCACGTGTATGATTCGCGAGTGAGGTAATTCTCTAAATTTATATTTGACAGCGTCACATACATGATTCACGAGCGGGGTAATAGATGCATTTATGGTTCACGCCGTTCGACCCTTGACAGTGCACCATTTATATTTATGTTGGATCGGGTCGAACGTCCTCGATGGATTTTATGTGTGATAATAGAATTGGAAACCTTTTTTTTATAATTTGTATAAATTCATTGGTGGAGAGATCATTTGTTTAAATGAAGGAAGTATTTTGGATTTTTTTAATATAATGGAAGAATTGTTCAGTTATTCCTTGTCTTGAGCTTTTATTGTTATAGCTTTGAATCCTGCTTAATTAGCATTTCACGTTATCAAAATGGCCTCCTGGCCACTTAAACTTGTACCGGATTTTAAAGCCGATATATAAACTTTTAACTTTCCCATTTTAGTACCTCAACTCAACCAGTTGATTATAAATAAACCCCTTCGTCAGAGCGTGTAGCTCAATTGCCTGACAAAAAGAACAAGTCAAATACTAAGACTATTTATTATTTTACACGTGTCATCAGTGGGTCCCATTTTTTATAATTAATTTATCAAATTTTTTTTTTATTTCTTTCATTATTCCTTCTACACCTTTTATCGCCACTATTGTGAAAAAGATCTCAGCCATATTTGACCATATGCTCAATTAGTCATGAACTTTCATAAAATTTATTCCATTTTTCACTTCTAATCAAGCTTCAAATAAGGGACACGTCGGGACAGGAGAAATTCTGGTCAATTACGAGGGCATATTACAGAGACGTCGTAGGAGCTTTGCTTGTTTACGATATGACTAAAAGGCACACTATTGAGCGGCTGTCGAGTTGGTTTGAAGATATACAGCAACAAGGCGACACGACAATAATAGTGGTGGGGAACAAGTGTGACGCCGGAGAAAATATTAGGGCTGTTAGTGCAGAGGAAGGCGAGGAATTCGCGAAGAGTAATGGATGTTTGTTTATTGAAGCTTCTGCTAAAACGGCGGTGAGTGTGGTGGCGGGACTTGATAAGACGATAGAGAGAATATGTGAGAAGATGGGATACGGGGATATTGAAGAGGTGGATGAAGCTCTGGGAATTAATATTTGGAATTGGAAAGGGTTTAGGATTAGAAAGAACACAGGGGGTGAAGGGAATTGTGCGGGGACTGGGGAAGTGGGTCTGGTTTATTTTCTTTCTTTTTAATTTGTATTTTTTTTTTCTGGTTTTAGATTTTTTAAATCAAAACTATTGTAATTACGCACGTAATTTTCGTGACTTGCACACACCTTGTCCACATCATCTCTGTCACTATCACATGTGTATGGTCAACAGTCAAATAGATTTATTAGTTACCGGATACGTGAGTTTGAGTGTTCAAATAGGAACGATGTAAGTTCGTGTATCGGCTTTAAAATCCGGTACAAGTTTAAGTAGCCACGAGACCATTTCGCCTATTGTTGAAATGTCGGAGTCGACCCCTCGTCACTGCTTCTTCGAGGTTAGACTGGATACTTACTGGATACGCGTTGTTTTCGTACTCATATTACACTTGATGTACATTTTGTTGTACATGCATATATACATTTAGCGGCTTTGTGGACGCATCGGCGTGGTTGACACGGAGACTTATGCGAGCTGCATCTTATGTGCGATCCGCAGCCAACAGAGTCTCTTTTAGAGTATTGGTATTTTCTTTTCAGCCCAAATTTATATTCAAAATAGCTATTGTATTTTATTTTATTCCTTAGTAAATGCTCATGCACTCGTGACAGTGGGTTCTAGGATGATTATGAGATACTTATTATCGAATGTGGAAAACGTTATTATTATTTTGTAAAGTTCATCTTTTACCGGTTAAATTGAAGGAAATTTATGATTTCAGAAATATTAAAATGAGACTTAACTAATTATTTGGTGTTGGTTTGCCTGACAGTAATGTCCGACGTCATCACAATCTTTAATGGATTTTGGGTCGTGACATTTATAACTTAAAATAAATTTCGAAAGTTTTCATTGGGTAAAGTAATATACACTAATTTTCTTACTTATATGCTCCATATATATTTTTGGTAAAAGAGTTTTACTTAGAAGTTAAATCGTGTAATTTACTTCTTGCAAAATTTCAAAGAAACAGGTGTTACCTCAAGTATTTTTAAAAGGTTTTAAGTTTTAAGCAAGAATAATATAAAAATATTTATAAGGTAAATATATGTATAAAGTTTTGTACTTTAATAAATATTAATTAATAATGTAATTGAGAAAATATTTACATCATATAACTTGAATCCTTAAAGAAATAAGCGTACAACTGACATTTAGAATTCGATTTAAGGGTCAAACAAGGGATGTTCCTATATGGCCATTAACTATTAAAGAGTTCTTCACTACTAAGACTTGCTACAACCTAATTGAATCTCCATTGAGTAGACATTTGGATTATAATTGGATTTGGAATTTACGTTGTCCAAACAAGATAAAGTTCTTCTTATGGCAATGCCTTCATAATAGAATCCCTCACAGAAAATACCTAGCTCATATAGGTATTAATATAGATCCCTTATGCCCTATTTGCGATTCAAGAGAAAAATAAACCATCACTCATATTTTCTTTCACCGTAAAGCCACCAAATTTATTTGGGATAATATGAGATGGTCAAATTTCTATAATCCAATAGGTGATCACTGACTTCTCCAACTAAAAAATTTTGATTGCTCATTAAGAAGTAAGTATATTAGGTAGAATTCTTTCTTTCCATTTGCCCTTTGGCATATATGGATAAAAAGAAATACTAATAACCAAAACAACACAAGCAAACCCATTAACATAAATCTCACTATTCAAAAGGCTATCGAATTCGCCCTTCTTACTTAAAATAGCTTTGTCCCTCTAAAGAAAAATCCTATTAAGTAAAATGGCAGAAACCTCCTAAGGGCTGGTTTAAATTAAATATTGATGTTAGTTTTAAAGACGGCTATCAAAGGAGTGGCCTGGGAGGTGTATTCCGTAATACAAAAGGAAGTTGGGTAGTTGGCTTTACAAAATCTATATATGCAAAAGGACCATTAGATGCAGAAATTAAGGCACTGCTTGAAGGACTTCAAACAGCTCATGAATGGGGAATGTTTCCGTTGGAAGTAAAAACAGATTGCACAGAGGTAATTAAATTTATACAACACGACAATAGACTATATGATGATCTTGTTAATGAATGCAGGTTGTTAATGTACCATGAGAAGGTAGTGCTCCTCCGACACGTATTCAGGCAAGGGATAATGTGGCACATCAACTGGCTAAGGCGGCAAATGCTCAAACAAAAGGAATTTTTTTTATACTACCTCCTACTTTTGTTGAATCTTTTGTAAGGAATGAACAAGAACAATAATATATTTTTGTTAAGTAGCTAGCTCATGATGCTTGCAATATATTAGCAAGCTTTAGGAAATCAAAGTGTCCTAAGTGGTACTCACTCCGTTTCAATTTATGTGAATCTATTTCTTTTTTAGTTCGTGCCAAAAAGAATGATATCTTTCTTTATTTGGAAACAATTTACCTTTACACAATAATTTATAACCACACAAAATATGTGTGCCTCATTTTACACCACAAGATCAAAAGTCTTCTCTTTTTTTCTTAAACTCCGTGCCCAGTCAAATGAGTTCACATAAATTGAAACGGAGGGGTATGACTGTACTAAGTAAGTATAGCTTTTAATATAAATAAATATTTTTGGTTTGCTACCCCCCCAAAAAAAAAGACATCTCAAACTTCATCATTTGGTTTGGGCGTGTGTAATAAAAACAGCCTATCTACCGAACTCTAGTAGTTATATACAGCCTAATACACGCTCAGAATTTCCTTGCAACCTTTTCTTCCCAAATAGCTCCACCCCTTTTCTCTTCACTGTTTCCTTTTTCATGCTTTTGCAATTAATTGGTGCCAACTCCTATCTATTCCCATACTTCTCCCTCTCCACTTCTCCTTTTCTCTTTCTGAAAAAGATAGTACAATTTTGACAGGAGATTACTCTTCACTTGTAAGGCCATGGCACATTCTTGATCCCATCTCTCACAATACTTGAATATCAGTAAACTAAGTTGAAGGTACCAATTTAACCAGCTCTCTATTTGTACATCTCTTTGGCTTTTGAAATGCTCAAAAATCTGATCTTTTTCAATAAAGTCACTTGTTTTAGCCTTCATTTTCTCTGTTTACTACTTTCCCACAATTTACATTTCATGTTCTTGGTAATTTCTAACACTTGGGTTTTAATGGCATGAAAAAAGGTTTAATGTTTCTTTTTTAATACATTTCTTCACTTTCAAACTTAAATTCTCCTTTGAATTATTTTTTCTTACTTTTCCAAGTGATAATGCGTTGATCTAATGCTGTTTTGCTTTTGGGATTACGTAAAAAGATTTTATGTCGACAAATCTACCACTTTGTTCAAACTCTTTTACTTTATCGTGTCTGCTCCACTATGTAGTGCGAAAATTCGAATTTTATCAGAACTGGAAAAGACTGAAAATTTGACATTTGTGTGAAAGGTTGAAACTTTTTTGACATTTGTGTGCAGTAACTTTTCTTTTTCAGGTTTCTTTAGAATCTTTCTTCTTTGTTTTCTTTTTCAGTATATGTATGCTACAAATCCACCCATTAAAACTTTACTTCTCTTATCCCTCTCTCTCTATAAGATCTCTAAAAAATAANCCCCCCCCTCTCTCTCTATAAGATCTCTAAAAAATAACAATTTTGGAATTTGGATTCTGATAAATATCTTTTCTTTACTTATTACCAAAGCTAAAGCTTTTGTGGATAAGTTCTGATTTTGGGAACATGGTGACAGATTAAAAGATTTCTGGGTAATAAATCAAGCTTTGACAACTATTAATGCTACCTCGTTTCCTGTTAATGTATGTTTTTTATTATGTTTCCCAGAATATCCTGTTTTTCTTTCTTCTTAGTTTTATTTGTTTATTTGAGGATTAAGGGTGCATAAAATCTCTCAAATTTGATTTGTATAAGTTGAGATTCCCTTTGAATGACGAAAGCTTAAGACAGCTTGATGTTTATATTAGTATATTCATCGATTCACATGCAAAATCTTTTAATCTATGTGTTGGTTGGTTTAGTCTAGTTACCATATTTGCAGCCATATCCATCTTGTTATGTACTACTATTGAATAAACTATTACATTAATTAATCTCTTCTTCTGTTGTTTAGCTGTGCGTTTATCAGTTCACGCCTTGTTAAGTGGCAATACTTTGACCAAGATAAAATAGAACATTGTTTTCTGCATAAGGTGGAATCGCTGTTTGCTGCATTGGATGCTTGCGAGTTTGACAGTTTTTTGCTTAGGTGATACAATCTGATCCGTGAACCTGGTGAGATCCAGAAAATTTCTTTAGTTGTGGATCAGATGGTCTGTTTGTGGGTCTGAGTAAATGGGGGGTTGTGTCTCTACCAGTAGTCGGAGTAGTTGTAGTAGCAGGAGCAACGGAGAAAGAGTTTCCCCTGAATGTTTGGGAATAAGGATGTTTACTCGAAAGAGGATTAGAAGAACTTTTTCTGATCCTGTCACCACATTGCAACATTTGTCTTCAATACCTAATCGGATATTCAAAAATGGAAAGAGCCGGACTTCTTGCATATTTACTCAACAGGGACGGAAAGGCATAAACCAGGACGCCATGATTGTGTGGGAAGTAAGTCCTGCTTGCTTGTCTAGAACTACTCTTGTGTCTTTCTAATGAGTGATGTTAGATTTATGTTTATTTTTTGTAGGATTTCATGGCTGAAGATGTGACCTTTTGTGGGGTATTTGATGGCCATGGTCCACATGGCCATCTTGTTGCTCGCAAAGTAAGGGATGCACTGCCGTTGAAGCTATCATCATTTTTGCAATCATTTGACTCGAAACGTAATGGTGCTACTGCGAATTGCTGCAATGGTAATCCAAAGTTGGATGTGGTGGATCCTGACAAGGATGGAGAGATGGAGGATAAAGTGGATAACTTGTGGAGAGAAGCTTTCCTTAAATCATACAAGGCCATGGATAAAGAACTAAGGTCCCACCCTAATTTAGATTGCTTTTGCAGTGGGAGCACGTCTGTTACTTTGGTGAAACAGGTAACCAGTTGCATTTGGTTATGATTGTCCATGGAATTTCTTTCATTCTCTTTTCTTCTAAGCTTGTTATTAATATTTTGTTTCAAAAGGGTTCAAATCTTTTTATGGGCTATATTGGTGATTCTCGGGCAATCTTGGCATCAAAGGACAATAATGATTCAATGATAGCAGTTCAATTGACTGTTGATCTGAAGCCCGATTTACCAAGTATGTCTATATTATAGCCAATCTTTTATGGTATGTGATCTCTTTCTGGATTCTCTTTGTTGATATAGTGTTCTTTGTGCCAGAGGAAGCTGAGAGGATAAAACGATGTAAAGGTCGGGTTTTTGCATTGCAAGATGAGCCTGAGGTGCAGAGAGTGTGGCTGCCATTTGACGATGCCCCTGGTTTAGCAATGGCTCGGGCATTTGGGGATTTCTGCTTGAAGGAATATGGTGTGATTTCTGTTCCAGAGTTTTCTCACCATATTCTTACCGAAAGGGACAAGTTCATTGTTCTAGCATCTGATGGGGTATGTAACTGTCTCGAAAATTTTATATAGTTTGCTAACCTAGATATCATTTTGTCGAAGTAGTTTAATTCAAACTCAAATTAAGCATGTCAAGTTTTATTAAATTCTATAAGATTTCTTTAACCATCTACCTTGTTATTTGCAGTAGTTGTATTTTGGTGATTGTGACAACCTTTGTGTATATTTTTGACTTGTTTAAAATGGGCAACATTTAATGATCTGGAGAAATGAGGTAACTGTGAATATAATGGTGACAATTCATCTCCTAAAAGTGCGCAACCAAATGGAAAAGATGATTCAACATATATAATCTAGCCTATTGAACTTCCTCTGTCAGTTGGGCATTCAGAGTTTAAGTTCTCAGCATACTATTACCAATGTTGCTAACACATTCAGTTGCCATTCTTCTGAATTTTATGATTCGTTGTGAAGTGGCTTTCTTTTGTTAGTATGGTATAAAGCTATTAGGTCACTGTTCATTAGGTTGGCTAGTAAATACCTTTCTCATTTTGGAGGAAGAAAGAAGCATTTAGGTTGTATGTGAATACACTGGTTGGACAGACGTTCATATCTTGTCTTAAGAGGAAAGGAGTCTGATTTTCTTTAATTAAATGTGTCTAGACTCCTCTTAGGTAACAGTCACCTGTGTACTTTGAAAGGAATTAGCTTATCCTGTTTCGATAGGCGGTCTATTATGAGGCTTTCTGGTTTGGGGGAAGAAAGGGGAGAAACTGGTCCTTAAAGTCTGATAGATTTTGCAAGAGGTACTAACATTCAGCCCGATTGGCAGAAGGACCTGTGATTAGTTTTAGCATCTGCCTTGCCAAGACTCCGTAAAGAGTGCACTTAGCTTAACTGCTAGTATTATTGTTGGGGATATTTGACAGCTGTAGAGTTTATTCTAAATAAAAGACTTCTCCTGTTGCTGGAGGCAAGGAGCTTTTGAATTGCATCATATATTAAGAATCTTTAGTTAAATCCTTCACAGTACTAAAGGTGAGCTTGTTGAATTTCTATATACTTCCTTTTCCACGAAATGGTTGATTCTGTTTCCATCTCAATCTTGGAATTCTATCTCCTGAAATAAATCTCCAGACAATAATCTTTTTGGGCATGATTTTCCCATCCTGAAACTATAAAGATCCCTTTATTTCCTTAATTGCTAATGACATGATTATGCTAATTTCTTTTATACCTGTCAATGCGGAGTTCTGATGAGTGATGAAAGGGACATAGCTTTTCCATTGGATAACCTAATGAATATCGTACTCAATGAGAGTTCTAAAATGGTTTTCCTGATTCTGGTAATAGTGCTTCTCTCGGGGGCTTTTCATTAAAGATGAACCTGAAATCTCTTTTATGGACTTCGAGAGTATTTCAGATCCAAAGCAATTGAACGAAGAACCACTTTAACAGTTGGTTCCATAGTCATTTTTGTACCTAATTAGTGTAAGTCCAGACTCCGATTGTCAGAACATTGACAGCTTGAAGAAGAATCAGAGCTGGTGCGAGTTAGCTCTTTCTGTACAAATTATGCAAAACACATCAAGATCAAATGAATCACAAAATAACACAAAAAAGTTGTAACATCCAAAATATTCAGAGCATCAAAATACAAAATTCTTGGAAGTTAGGATCTTAGACCATTCAATAGAATAAGAGTAAGTTCTGTTTCTTTCACAGCTCAAAAAGATCTATAAATTTGTATCACAACACAAGTTGGGAAAGTCAAACTTGAAGAACAAAATTTTATGCCCGAAAAAAAGAAAGATTATTCACTTTGACCAAAAAACAAAGTATACTTTCCACTGAATCTTTAGCCAAAAAGGTCGTGAGATGCAAAGGGGTTCTTTGGCATTAAAGATGAACCTGAACTCTCTTTTATGGACTTCGAGAGTATTTCAGATCCAAAGCACCAAGCTGTGATCCTGTATCTGGTCCATTCTAGAACTGGTGAACCAATTAAAAAGAGTTCCTTGGCAAAGGCTAGCGCTTAGAAAAATGCATTAAAGTACTATGCGATACTTAAAAATCTGAGGTTTTGGCCTCATTTACTGTTTCTGAGTTGAAGATTTATATGGCTGCAGGTTTGGGACGTCTTGAGTAATGAGGAAGTGGTTGAGATAGTGTCATCAGCTCCTACACGAGCATCAGCTGCCAGAATCCTGGTTGACTCAGCTGCACGCGAATGGAAAACCAAATATCCAACATCAAAGATGGATGATTGTGCAGTTGTTTGTCTATTCTTGGACGGGAAAATGGACATTGAATCCGATAACGAGGATCAGTGTTTCTCTTCTGCCACACTACAGAGCAACCATTCTGGTAATGCTGTGGAATCAGACGATGGACAGAATTCCGAGCCATCTCTGCAGAGAAACTTTACTGTCAGATCAGCTGAAGAGAACAGCGCGTACAAACGAATTATAGCAGAAGCAGACGCAAATCAAGAAACCGTGGCAACTGAAGATCAGAACTGGTCAGGATTAGAAGGTGTCACTCGGGTAAACTCCCTGGTTCAGCTTCCAAGATTTTCTGAAGAGAGGCCTAGACCCTGACCTTGTTATTCAATTATATTTGTTGTGATATAAATTTGTTTCTGAAAATTGAAGGATATATAATTTTGCTGCAGAATCCTAGTCAGTAGTCTGTTATGTTTATGATGCATTTGGGGTTCGGTTTGTGCACTTGGTTAAAGTTTAACTGTAAAGTCTAATTTTCTTTAAGATATTATCATACTAGGAGTGATATATCATATATGTTATAAAATAAAAACTTTAAAGTAAAGAAACCGAAGATAAGAGAGAGATTTATTATTCAATTTCAAATTCACGTACTGAATGAAATCTCCTCTATTTATAGAAGAAAGAAAGATGCTGTGTAAGCTGCTATTGTAAGCGGCTGTGTAAGCTGCTACACAAGCTACTGTGTAAGCTTCTTGTAAGTTGCTTGTAAGTTACTGTACTAGATATAGATAATCTTCTGCCTAGGGTAATATTTATCCATAACGGAGTATCGAAATGATAAGCTTCTTCAGGAAGCTTATTTCCAATAGAGTACTAAATAGATAACTATATTTACGGCGAAATCTCATATGGATAAGCTTCTTCAGGAAGCTTATTTCCAATAGAGTACTAAATAGATAACTATATTTACGGCGAAATCTCATATGGATAAGCTTCTTCAGGAAGCTTATTTACAACGGAGTACTAAATGAACATCCATAATATAATATATATTTATAACATCCCTCCCTAGATGTTCATTAAAAGATAATGTGTCTCGTTAAAACTTTACTAGGAAAAATCCCGGGGAAAAAAATCCTAGTGAAGGAAAAAGAGTACACATATTTAGTAATACGCATTGCTAGGTACCTCATTAAAAATCTTATAAGGAAAATCCCGTGGGAAAAAATCTTAGTAAGAAAAAAAGAGTGCATCGCGTATTTTATTCCCCCGATGAAAATCTAGTTTCAAATATTTGAGTCTCCGCATTCCAATCTTGTATACCATCTTCTCAAAAAGTTGAGTTTGTAGAGAATATTATCCACCACTATTTCAGATCGATTTAAATTAATCTCATCAAACCAAGAAGCTGCTACAAGTCATTTCATTGAGTTCCTTGCAACTTGCCTGCATCAGCTGCTTGTGGAAAACTTCAGTGGAGTAATAAATAAATAATCTTCTTCAGGAAGATTATCTACAACGGAGTAATAAATGGACATCCACAATAATATTTTTGTTACACTCTCCTTTGGATGTTCATTATTATGTGCCTCGTTAAAACCTTACTAGGAAAAATTCCGTGGTAAAAAATCATAGTCAAAGAAAAAGAGTACACTAATAATATATATATTGCAAGCTTGCCTCATTAAAAACCTTACCAGGAAAAACCCAGTGGGAAAAAATCTGAGCAAGGGAAAAAGAGTACAATGCAGCGACAGGGGTATATCTGGACCAAGGAGTTCATCATTCTCTTCTGGAGGTAAGAACGGATCCTTAATCCGTGTAGGAGAAGAACTATATCTTGCTAGTAAATTATCAGAAAATGCTATGTCAGGCCTTGTAGCATTAGCAAGATACATTAATGCATCAATTGCACTGAGATAGGGTACTTCGGGACCAAGGAGTTCCTCATCCTCTTCTGGAGGTCGGAACAAATCCGTATCCACTTCAAGTGATCGAACAACCATTGATGTACTCAATGGGTGCGCTTTGTCCATGTAAAAGCGTTTTAAGACCCTTGCTGTATAGGCAGATTGATGGATAAAGATCCCGCCTGCTAAATGTTCAATTTGCAGACCAAGACAAAGTTTTGTCTTCCCAAGATCTTTCATCTCAAATTCTTTCTTAAGATATTCAATTGCCTTTTGGAGCTCTTCTGAAGTTCCAATAATATTTATGTCATCAACATAAACAACAAGTATAACAAATTCTGAAGCCATTTTCTTTATAAAAATACATTGACAAATAACATCATTTATGTACCCCTCTTTCAGCAAATATTCACTGAGACGATTATATCACATGTGTCCAGATTGCTTTAAACCGTACAAAGATCTTTGTAATCTGATTGAGTACATTTCCTGAGATTTTGAATATGCTTCAGGCATTTTAAATCATTCAGGGATCTTTATAGATATTTGATCAAATGAGTCATATAGGTTATGACTCGCATTTAAATGGCATGACATCTTTAGGTGTCTGGACTACTGGCCCGATCCTCACAATATTTCACAGTATTGTGCACTATATTGTATCAAATATATCGTCGACGATCATTTTGTATCGGTTCGCAAGCGACATAACTTGTTGTGATCTCATCACTTTCTTTATTTTTAGGTACCTGAATTTCTTCAGGAGTTCATGAAATGTTATGTCGTGGGCTCTTCTAGAGCTTATTTCCTCCTTATTATGATCATTTTGATCATTTGCTCCTATTCTTTTCAAGGATTATTACCTTTGGAACCAATTGGTCTACCACGCTTCATGCATACAGTAAACTCCATCCTTCAGGGACTTTAATTTTAATAGGAGCATTTGCAGCTGAAATATGATATTTAATTTTAGATCAGCAAATGCTTCTGGCATTTAACTTGAATTATTTTCTAAGTGAGGATCATATTAATGATAGTTCAATTCATATAACATATTTTTCAGCTGTTTATTCCATCCTCCAAATGTTTAGAAAAACTAATATATATCCCCAATTTTCTTTGGGAAACATATCTTTGTGCAATGTGGTAGAGAAATTAATTATATACCATACATTAAAAGATAGTAAAAATATTTGGTTTCTGATCCTAAACCAATTGTGAGGGTAGGACTTATCATATATTGTTGGTCTGATGCATACAAGTGCTGCTATATGCAATTTAGAAAATCTTAGACCAANTGTTTATTCCATCCCCCAAATATTAGAAAACTAACATATATTCCCAATCTTCTTTGGGAAACATATCTTTGTGCATTGTGGTAGAGAAATTAACCATATACCGCACATTAAAAGATGGTAAAAATATTTGGTTTCTAATCCTAAACCAATTGTGAGGGTAGGACTTATCATATATTGTTGGTCTGATGCATACAAGTGCTGCTATATGCAATTTAGAAAATCTTAGACCAACACATGAAACTTTGTTCTCATAAGCAATGGTTTAGCCATTAATAGGAGGTATTCAATGCTAAACCAGCTTGGATATAAACCAGCATTATTAAGATGAACTGTCTTGATTTCATAATCTGAAAGTTTTGCTCTTAGTTGAGAAAAACAATTTCAAATGTCAAACTGCAGGTTGACAATGAACACACATGTAACCATCTTATATATGCATCTATAAGTGGTTCACATGATAAGTGAATGAGCCCATATTCACCTTTTATATATTTCAGAATCAGGGGTCTTAGTCCCAACTTTTGCTGGTATAATCAATTTATTATGAGAACAAGCAACACAGGAGAATTCTTGAAGAATCTTCTAGTTCTTCAGTATATGCTTATCTGAATTCTCAAATAGCTCATTTAAAAATGGAAAATAAAAACTTCAAGTTTATCATGGCATGTGCTATCTCTTAGTAAACTACTGGTTTACTATGACACAAACTTTTGCATTAGTAAACTTCTGGTTTACTGTGACTACTTTTGTATAAGTAAATTTCTAATTTACTGTAGCTGCTTTTGCATTAGTAAACTTCTGGTTTACTGTGATACATGATGTAATACAAATTGAAGAATAAGGCAGGTAACTTCTCACATACATATTTACCCCCTATGATTGTGGAAACATGAAGATTTTCATCTTTCAATCATTTGTAGTCTCAGTATGATTGTCATTTGTATTAGTAAACTTCAAGTTTACTATAACATGTGTTTTGACCATAATTATATAATATGAATGACGTATTTATATATAAGCTCTTCAAGATCCTTCATTCATTATCTACAATCTAATATTTATCGGACACTACTGGTGTCATATGTCTTCTAGACAAACAAATAACTCTTCGGGAGCTTTTGATAAATTTTGTACTACCAAATATTGTTCAAACACTTCTGGTGTCATGAGAGAAAATCATAATCAAATAAACAATACAAAGCCAATTCTAAATTTATAAATGATGAAAATCAAGAATTTTAATATTCTAATACTAACTTCGTGACAAATATCTCCTTCAAGGAGAAATACCATTAACATCTGAATATTTTGTATCAATGCGGCAATCACATAGTCATTGCCTCCTTTAAGAAAAGATACACGAGTTGTTATTTCCTTCGGGAAACTCAATAACTAACCATAATGTACAGATGTGGTTGTAGTAGAAAGCAGTCTACAAGAATACTTTTGCCTTGGAATGATATTTAATAAAATTTTCCAAAATATTTTGCGTACAACGGGTACGTGCGATAATGATCTTTATGCCACAAAAACAAGATTTATACCCTTTGTTATTCTACCTCTTCAGGAGGTGAGTTGTGGTATTTCTTCATTCACTCTAGGGAATGAAAATGTGCTTCAAAAATAACTTTGAATAGCTTATTATTTTATTTAAGCACAAAAAGACACACTTTCATAATATTTTCCTGCTTCAGGAGAAAAATTCAATTGTTTTACTACTTAAGGAGCAAAATTAAAATACGAAATATTAAGTATATATTATCTCAATCATATTACCTCTTCTGGAGGTGAATCGTAATATATTTACATTAATAGCGTGCTCATATTTACGAGCTTTATTAATATTGTCACTGTTGATACCCAATTTTTCCATAAGTATTTTTTACACTCAAAAATACTTTCAAAATAACATATATGTGCATACATAAGCATGCCCAAGTATTTTGGTATTTTTCCCAAATTTTTTAAGGGTTTTTCAAAACCAATTTATTGTCTATTTTAGCAGTGCAAAATCCAATAATTATTCCCAAAATTATTGTTTTGGTGAATAATTTATTTATTTCTCATATTTACACCAAAATATAATTAAGGTGATTTTTGTATATTTTTACAAATTTATTTGGTATTTTTAAAGCTAATTTGCATATAATTGCAATTATAGCCCATGTTTCGATTAATAGCATTTTTATAATTGCAAAATCAGTTCCAGTATTGTTGTATTACTAATGGTTTAAGTACTTTTAATTTTCTTTTAATATCATTTTCATTATTTTTATAAAATTAAGAGGGAGAAATTGACTATTTAATACCTAACCTATTATTATTGCAATTTTAGCCCCAATTGTAACCCACCCCATC